GATTTCTATATTGCCTAAAATATCTAGGTTTTGGCTTTGTTTGCGTGTGCAGACTGATCGGTGTATGACATCAAAGTAGCATACAGACAGTTATGCTTTCGAAACGCTCTCGAGGTACTTTGATGTCAAACACTGATCGGTCTGAGCTGCACTGCTTTTAAGTCGAACACACCTAATACGTACGCGTAATTGCATCGCTTTGACTGTAGATCCCACCTTCTCACACGCCATGATTGGTCCATTATGTACAATGCTTGCATGTTATTGGTCAAACTACTTTTCGATCATTACCTTCAGCAAGCATGAAAACAAAGCCAAAACAAATCCTGGCCAGGACGCGTCCTGGGAAAATGGCACGTATGGTCACCCTACCTTGGGCCTGCCTGCTTTCACGCATTAAGTTATATGATAAGTTAAATTTTACTCTTGCTTTTGCCCAGTTGTCTGAATCAAGCTGTTGTTTCTGTAATTTTACACAAAAAGCTCATGCTTGTCATTACAATTAGTCTAAGAAAGACCGCTTTTTGGACAAAAAAAAAAGGTATTTAACTGTCGGGTTAAGGTAGCGTCCCATACAACGATGCACCAAAATTTATTTTTCATGGAAAGACTGCAAACAGTATTAATAAAAAAAAAACGAAATTGAAAATAAAGTTTCGATAATTAAATTTGGGTTACTGGGTAATTTAATTGGGTGTCATTTTCTCAGCCGATTAAATTAATCACTAAAAAAAAAAACACTCAAAGTTCTTTGGCAACAAGCCTCCTATTGATATTTTTTCAGCCAAAAAAAGTTATTATTGCTACTCTAACTTCATTTTGGGTCACTGTAAAGTCCATCCACACAGCTAACATGTTTACCTGTTGTAGCTTGTGGGTAAAAGACACTGACTCAGTCAAAACCTGTAATTGTAGAAAAGGTAATAAACGTCATTAGCTACATTCCCATGCACCCAAACAATCTGTTAGTACTGGGATTGATGGCTCAGTCAGATTGAAAAGCCTTAATGTAAACACCTCAATCAATGTGATTGAGTTTGGTCCGAATGAAGTCTCTATCGGATTGAAAGGGGTGGACCTGAAATAATCTTTGATTACATGCTACTTTTACCTTCTTACTGTACAAATATGCATGTCTTTATTTACGTCTTATGAACTGGTCAGTGGAGGAGACTGAATATTTGCTAAAAAAAAAAAAATTCTGACGTATTTGTCAGCTTTCCTTTTAGGCAAGGCGAAAAATGATAATTATACTCCCAGTAGCTCTGGTGACGTTATAGAGATGGCTTTCTCCAGTTCTGAATGTGGTGACTGGGGCACTTACTCTGAAGTTTTGTTCAAAATACATAAATGCAGATCTAAACAAATTAGGGCTGGGTTTTGACACAAATTTCATGATTCAATTCGATTCTCATTCACAACCTTTCGATTAGATTACTAATTCGATTAAATTCAATATTAATTATTTTGGATATATATCAGGTACAGTACATGCCAAATTTTCTCAAGGAATAAAAATCTCAACTAATGCTGTAAAATATACAGTTGGTGCTACATTACTATAATATAGAAGGTTAAAATTGACTGATTTGTTAAAATTACACTTAATGAAGTTTTTAAAATAATAAAGTTACAATTACATAATAATATTTCTACTTCAATTCAGTTTTTCTGAGACGGTATTTAGACGCAGTTTCGTTTGTTTTGATCCTTTGCGAACCTTTCGTCCTTTAAAACGTTGTTTCTTCCGATTTTCTGTAAGTTATCCGTTATTTTAGTCAATCGCATACATCTAATGATGGAGCCAGAATGATAACTTATTAACCAGGCCAGTTGATCATGTAATTCTGAAATAATATACAATATGCTGGAATAAGTGATTACATATTCCATTGAATTAAGCGTTTAAATCATGTTGGTCGTGCAACGGATGAGATTTAACTAACATAAATCGGTGGTTGCTCTAACGTTGTATAGTTTGGTTGGTTGGTTGGTTGGTTAGTTAGGAAGTATATAGAGTTGTTCAGGTAACATTGTGCATGTATGTTTTTTTTCTTTCTCCTCCGCCACTTTCTCAGGTCATGTTAACCATAGCGTATGGTTTTGCACTGATTGCAGTTGTTTTCTGGTCAAAAACCAGGCTGATTGATTAGAAATCAATATTTCTTTGTTAAATGCACTGGAGATCACGTGTTGCATGTGGTTTGACATGAATTGATCTGTGAAGGTCTTGCATGATCATGGTGTTTTTCTCGTAGGTTATCTATAGGATATGGCTTCAGGTGGGAGTGAGTTAATGACTGAATAATTGGTGGTAGGGAGGCTGAGTCATGAATCTCAGAATGCCCTGGAAAACATATATTGGGGACACATGGCTCAACATGTCACGCACATTACTGTCCCATCAATCTGTCAGCGTCACTATGGCTACATAATGTCATGCTCACTCACTTTTCCTCTCTCTCACAGCCATGATGGAGGAATTGCACAGCTTGGATCCTCGCAGGCAGGAGCTGCTGGAGGCCCGTTTTACAGGAGTCGGAGTTGCCAAGGTCTGCCTGGTCACAAACTGATATTTCTGCCCCCATTTCTATTTGTTCATGATAATCAGTAATTTCTGCACATACCTTTCCCCCCGCATCTTCACTCATTCGTGTGTTTGTCTAGGCCTTGGGCTAGGGTGACCATACGTGCCATTTTCCCAGGACGCGTCCTGGCCAGGATTTCTATATTGCCTAAAATATCTAGGTTTTGGCTTTGTTTGCGTGTGCAGACTGATCGGTGTATGACATCAAAGTAGCATACAGACAGTTATGCTTTCGAAACGCTCTCGAGGTACTTTGATGTCAAACACTGATCGGTCTGAGCTGCACTGCTTTTAAGTCGAACACACCTAATACGTACGCGTAATTGCATCGCTTTGACTGTAGATCCCACCTTCTCACACGCCATGATTGGTCCATTATGTACAATGCTTGCATGTTATTGGTCAAACTACTTTTCGATCATTACCTTCAGCAAGCATGAAAACAAAGCCAAAACAAATCCTGGCCAGGACGCGTCCTGGGAAAATGGCACGTATGGTCACCCTACCTTGGGCCTGCCTGCTTTCACGCATTAAGTTATATGATAAGTTAAATTTTACTCTTGCTTTTGCCCAGTTGTCTGAATCAAGCTGTTGTTTCTGTAATTTTACACAAAAAGCTCATGCTTGTCATTACAATTAGTCTAAGAAAGACCGCTTTTTGGACAAAAAAAAAAGGTATTTAACTGTCGGGTTAAGGTAGCGTCCCATACAACGATGCACCAAAATTTATTTTTCATGGAAAGACTGCAAACAGTATTAATAAAAAAAAAACGAAATTGAAAATAAAGTTTCGATAATTAAATTTGGGTTACTGGGTAATTTAATTGGGTGTCATTTTCTCAGCCGATTAAATTAATCACTAAAAAAAAAAACACTCAAAGTTCTTTGGCAACAAGCCTCCTATTGATATTTTTTCAGCCAAAAAAAGTTATTATTGCTACTCTAACTTCATTTTGGGTCACTGTAAAGTCCATCCACACAGCTAACATGTTTACCTGTTGTAGCTTGTGGGTATAAGACACTGACTCAGTCAAAACCTGTAATTGTAGAAAAGGTAATAAACGTCATTAGCTACATTCCCATGCACCCAAACAATCTGTTAGTACTGGGATTGATGGCTCAGTCAGATTGAAAAGCCTTAATGTAAACACCTCAATCAATGTGATTGAGTTTGGTCCGAATGAAGTCTCTATCGGATTGAAAGGGGTGGACCTGAAATAATCTTTGATTACATGCTACTTTTACCTTCTTACTGTACAAATATGCATGTCTTTATTTACGTCTTATGAACTGGTCAGTGGAGGAGACTGAATATTTGCTAAAAAAAAAAAAATTCTGACGTATTTGTCAGCTTTCCTTTTAGGCAAGGCGAAAAATGATAATTATACTCCCAGTAGCTCTGGTGACGTTATAGAGATGGCTTTCTCCAGTTCTGAATGTGGTGACTGGGGCACTTACTCTGAAGTTTTGTTCAAAATACATAAATGCAGATCTAAACAAATTAGGGCTGGGTTTTGACACAAATTTCATGATTCAATTCGATTCTCATTCACAACCTTTCGATTAGATTACTAATTCGATTAAATTCAATATTAATTATTTTGGATATATATCAGGTACAGTACATGCCAAATTTTCTCAAGGAAAAAAAATCTCAACTAATGCTGTAAAATATACAGTTGGTGCTACATTACTATAATATAGAAGGTTAAAATTGACTGATTTGTTAAAATTACACTTAATGAAGTTTTTAAAATAATAAAGTTACAATTACATAATAATATTTCTACTTCAATTCAGTTTTTTTTTTATATAAAAATAATGGTGGCTGTCATAAAAACTTGATGGATTTATTCGAACAAATTAAACATTGAAGAACAGTAAAATGTATAATGAATATGTTATATGGTACATATATTTAGCAAAATGCCCCTCTCTACAGTTTATTTTTCTATCTGATTAATGAGTTTATGGTCACCGAATATGTTTTTCTGAGGTAAATGTGACGTTACGTGACATTGTTTACAAGCCGTTATATTGACGTCTTTGCACTGATTGAGCGATTTCTTGAGACAGGATACAGATTGTAAAGTTGTACGCTTTCTTTTAACTTACCTTTGGATGTTTAGTCATGTTTATTTTGTGCTGAAACTGGTATTAATGTGGAGGAGATGATTAGTTCACGTGCGCCTCGCGCTGCTGCATCTGTTGAACTGAGGCGCTACAGCGATCTGTCACTCCACATTAAACGGCGCCAAAACGGCATTTATTGTTTGAATACTGCAATACAATGGACAGAATTTGAAATCTGAGACTTTGTTTCATATTAAAAGTTCCAAAGCACAATGCTTATTGCTATATTTTAGATGGAAAGTGCCCTTCAATGTTCCATCCATTAACTGAAAACAGGCGAACGTTAGACTAATAGATTCCTGGGATTTAAGAATTGATATCGTTCCGTAAAAATGAGAATCGATTAATATCGAGGTATCGATATTTTTTACACAGCCCTAAAACAAATGATTCGATGATGATTCAAATTGCAATGTTCATGGTTTATATAAACAGAACTTTCAGAATCTGAAATGGATTCATTCAAATTTACAAAAATTGGTGCATGTATACATGCCTACTGTTTCAGTCGGTTTCGTCTTTTGAAAACTACTTCAGCTGAAACCAAAAAATATTTTTTAAATAATTTATGACAGAATATTTTTGGTTGCCGAAATTTTAGTGCATCTGTTGTGTGCAAGCACAAAATTATTTTTTAATGCTCAAAAAAAAAATACAGTGTCTAGATTAGAACATTCACATCGAATAGACGTCTCAGTGATGAACGTGTGTGTCTCAGTTTTCCTGTTGGATAAGTCATTTAAGTGTTGGAGAACCCCCAGAAAGACCTTGAATATCTGTCAGCATTTGCAATATGTGTCTTTGAGGAAAAGTCTTGGATCAGTTCTGAGCGCAAGGACAATGATTTGTCAGTTTTTCAGTGGTAGAAGATGTTGTTTGGCCACTGCCATGATCACGAAAGTCCACTTCACTGACTGGGCAATGCTGGAGGTTTTTAGAAGGACCTTTTACTCTGCATCTGTTTGATTTAGTCTGCGAAATTTCACAACTGAACTGATTGAAAGAACCGTCAGTAGGTGCATAGCACGGGTGTTGTTTATCATTGTGTTTTTGGATTGTGGAGGGTTTTAGCCTGAACTGACCAGCATATATATATATATATATACACAGTGGTGTGAAAAAGTGTTGGCCCTCTTCCTGATTTCTTCTTTTTTTGCATGTTTGTCACACTTTAATGTTTCAGATCATCAAACAAATTTAAATATTAGTAAAAGATAACACAAGTGAGCACAACATGCAGTTTTTAAATGAAGGTTTTTATTATTAAGGGAAAACAAGATCCAAAACTACATGGCCCTGTGTGAAAAAGTAATGGCTGCAATATAACAAAGAGTGAACAATTTAAGGGGGTGCCAACACTTTTTCACACCACTGTATATATATATATATATATCAAGCGTATTTGAGTTACTAAAGGCTCATTAATAACATGCATTTTAAACATGCATCGAGATAATGATTCAAAAACCACTCTGTGCACATATGCAACCTTTTCTCACAGAACTAGAGATAATTTTGTGGGTATTTATTTATTTTATTTACATTTCTTCACCCAAACGATGAAACTTTTCAGTTTTAGATAATGAATTTACCTGTAGGTCAACGTACAAAGAGGAGAGAGAATTAGAGGCAGAATTAGGAAGGAATTAGTGTTTGAAATAGGGAAAAGAGACAGACATCAAGTTTAAGGCACTCGCATTGATCAGGGGAAAGTCACAATCTGTGCACTTCTTTTGTGCTGATTGTAGGTGAAAATCCATTAGCTAAAAGTAATGGCTAAAATTAAATAATGAAAAGGTAATTTCCAAGGTGATCTCCAAAGTAAACAGAATTAATTGGATATTGACACGTGCTAAATAATAATAAAAACAAATTGGAATGACATGCACAGGTGAATAGTTCATGTATTGCATTTATTTATGACATATTATTTATCTATTTACTGCTTCATACACAATCACCAAAAACTGTAATAACGACAAAATGGCTTTTGTGTGTTTGTTTTATTTTCACAGAACCGAACCTTACTAGCACTGATCTTTCCATTAGGAAATGCAAATCCTGTTCTCTGTTGTCTTCCTCTCTGCAGGGTTCTGGACACAACGAGTCATCTAACCAGAGCTTATGTAGCGTGGGCTCCCTCAGTGACAAAGAGCTGGAGGTTAGTACACATCTGAAGCTCAAACGGTTGTTCAGTCACTAAAGTATCTCTGTTTCTGTCTAGAGTAGGTGATGCACTTGTTGGCACCATTTTTATTTATTTCACCCAATGATATCACCCAAGGTGTCTGGTTGGAAAGTCTTGTTTTTTTTTGTTGTTTTTTTCCACTTCTGGATTTAGTTGCTCCTTTCTTTAATATTTGGCATCTGGATTTTGTTAATCAGTGAAACGCACATCTGTAATCCTTTACTTTTGTGCTTTCTCAAGTCACAGCTTTAAATCTGTAACTTTGCTTGCTAACAAATGCATTAATGTGACCAGCTGTATATAAACTAATGCAAATAGATGGTAACAATCATGACATTAAGCATTTGGGTCAGACTTGCGTGTGTTTTGGCCACATTGTTTTAACCATAGATGTGAATACGTAGATGCCTCATTAGCGATTGTTTCTATGGGCTGCTATACGTAAGCCGTCCGCCATATTGGAAGGGTCAACTTGATGTCATTTACCATAATAATCAATGAATATTTGAAGATGCCACAATCCTTACATATCTATGGTTCCGCCCCTCTCTCACATTCTCACCTGTGAAAGGTTATCCCATTTTTTTTCAGGAATTAAAATCCCGGCAGGTTTTACAACCATCGGCTGTGCAGGATTATGGCATCTTCGGATATTCATTGTTTATTATGGTAAATGACGTCAAGTTGACCGTTGCCAGATGGAGCTGTCGAATGAGGCATTCACCTATACATATCTATGATTTTATCCATTTGAGGTGCTGCTAATGTTCGCGTCCTCTCAGCATAGACTGCAAACATACTGCTGTTCTTTTTCCACTAATGCAGCATCTAGTCAACATATTAATTACTTAATAATGATATGGAAACATGCACTACAGTATACTGTATACACTCCGTTTAGTTGTCGATGTTTTAAATCCCCATCTGAATTTTCCCGCTCTTTGCAGCACAGTGTCAAAACAAACAGCACGTGGTGTCAGTGATTTTGCCTCTAGAGGCCACTCTCATACTGTATAATGACAGCGGAGCCTTCTCAGCCACTCCAGCAACGGACACCACCTGAAAAACTATCTGTATGGATTTTTGCCGATAGTTCCAGCAATCAACTATTGGTGCCGATTAAATCGGCAAAACCGATTCATCAGTCAACCTCTAATCATGATGGTCAAACAGAAAGAACCACAGCATTTACATTTTTCTCATTTATGAATGACTGTATTTTTAACACGAAGCAAAGAACTGATTATTGTTGTCCACATTAGAGTTGTAACATGTAACATCAGTAAGCAAGACTAAAGGCTTCTTTACGCCAAGAAAAATAATTTTAAATATATCTACAAAACAATAACAATAATGTCCTCACCAGCAGACAATAATGCTTTGGTTATTATTAGCGCGTGCTGCAGTTGTGTTGTCTGTCGCTTTAAATCCTCAAGCTCTTTGAGTTAGATGAATTCTGATTGGCTGTCAGGTTTTTTTTGGGGGGGGGGGGGGGGGGGGTAGAGATTTCTGTGCGGGAGGTCACAAAAA